TCAAACAAAAGATCAAACATGTGAGAAAGAAAGGGCAAAAGATTTTAATGCTAGAAAAACACGGAAAGACACTTTCAGTCTCTCAAGCGCATATTTGCTTTGTCGTAGACAATATTCAAAGCAGAACTCACCTCTGAATGTTCTCCTTTCCTCCACTCTATGCCAATACTGTAAAGAGAAGGAGCAATGAACAGGAAGTTGGAGAAAAACAGGCCCAAAGCATTTGCACCTCCTGCCAGTCAAAGAGAAAGAGAAACACAGCCCAACCCAATGGGTGGGAGCCAGGCATGTGTGCTTGGCATCGCCTTACCTCAGTCAGGCTTCACCTCCTCGCTCAACAGAAGCTTGTGAGGTTCCCCAGCCTGAGCCAGCAGGTGCAGCCTGGTGGGGACGACTTGGTCATCCAGGGACCGCCTCTGGCTGCCAAGCCCCACTCTTTTCTTCCTGCAATCAGAATAAGGTCTTGCTCCACCCACATAATGTGACTCCTTGCCCTTCCCTTTTGCAGGTGATACTTTTTCTTGCTGCCTTTCCTTCCATTTCTGGATTTAACCCATTGCATGCAATACAAAAGAAATACCAAGTCCCTATATCAGTTTGGAGTTTAATTTGTCAAGGATTTGGTAACTCTCCACCCTCCCAGCCTACAGCTATTTAACTAGACAAATACAGTCGTTGAGTGCACAGCTACCAGGGCCTCCCCTGAAGAATTAATTCTCACATTTTGCATGACAGCTCCCAGCATCTTAGGCAGCATAATTACTGTAGTGCTAAAGCAGTGTTGTCCAAACTTGGCCACTTTCAGATGAGTGGACTTCAACTCCACTGGCTGGGGAATTCTGGGTGTTGAAGTCCACTCATCTTAAAGTGACCAAGTTTGGACAACACTGTGCTAAAGGATAGGTTGTGCTCTGAAACTTATTTTACAAGACTGCTCAAGTCTGCTTTAAAGCCATATACAGGAAAACAATGTTTATTGCATCTTAGTATTTCAGCTTGACATTTTAAAAGACTCAGCCAGAAATACAACTTTCTTCTCATTTCATGAGAATTGTTTATATTGCAATGTTTCCCATCAGAGTTCAAATGTAGAATCTTGCCCTGAGGCAACACTTATGCAGAAGATTGGCCTTTGGAAATTTGTTATTTAATGTAAACATAACAAGCAGGGGGAAACAAGAGGTGTGGAAATACAAATGAGACGTAATTTGTACCTCATCGGATTTAAGATCCTCTAGTTTGTAAAAGTATAAAGATGAATGCATGTATATGTTCTTCCATAATTTGGAGAGAAATAACTGTATAGAGAGTTATGGGAGTGCTAAAGCCACGGGAGCATATTCACAAAGATTGAAACTGGCAGTGGGAGCTCTGCTTTGAATCAAGAATAGTGAAAACATGTTTGCCTTCTGAGAAAAACTTGGAGACTAGTAGCAGCAGGCACCGCCTTCTGGAAATAGCAGAAGCCACTGGTACAGTTCAAATGTACCATACAGCTATTCTGATGAAAGTAGTGGGAAAATAGAAAAAGCTACAAATGGAGGATGTTGTAGCCTCAACTATGCAGGATGCAATGTGATTATTCTTTGAAAGCGTGATGTGCAAATATGGGTACAGAGCTATGATGTGGTTGAAGCTAAAGCCTTAACCACAGTCTGTGGCCATAACCTGTTGCTGGCTTACTAGCTTTAGCTTCCCATAGCGTGTAAGCTAGAAACAAAGGCAAGAGGCGGGTATAGTCAGAAAATGTATCTTTCTTGGAGCAGCACCTCTGCTTCTCCAGTTTGCTTTCCATAACTTTCTGGATATATGCATGATATTCCTTTTAGAAATTGGGAGGGGTGGGTGGGAGAGTTATTAGCTTCCCTAATACCTGCTCCATATAGTGGCTCCAATCACATTAAGTTCACCTGCACCCATACCTCCTTTCCATCACAAAAGATAAAGACTAGAAAACTGCTGCCCTCAGTACTTTGCCACATCACCTGGGAATCTTCTGGGACCTTGTTTGGGATGGTTTGAGGATTCCTCTTCTGGGAAGGGGGTTGGCCTTTCCAACCCTATGATTCGAAGAATTCTCCATGAATAAGTGTCTTACTCTGGTTAACTGTCAGCTATGCTAAGACTACATTCACTATTGGTAGATATTTGGGGGATTTTGCTGACCCACTTCTGTCTCTATTATAGTTTGGTGGAGTTTATGATTGATTTTTAACAACAGTTTTGTAAATTGTTTTGTCCACAAAATTCCAGTGATAGAGCTCTAGGCAGGCAAAGATTAGATAGTTAAGACATTTGTAAAAATAACAAATCTAAATCTGAGAAACAGAGCAAAACAGAGCTGGGTTTGGATCATATAAGCATCCTTGGGTGTTAGCTATCTCACTAAAATATGAAAGCAGTGAATTTCAGCCATATGTTGCTTATGCTGTACCCCTACTTCTGCTGCTTAGCCTGTATGTTTGCAAATAAATGCTAATATTATCCATCACCAGTAAACACTCCATGATTTCCTTCCTAAGGAAATGAAACCAAAGCTGCAGAAATGTGGTGCTCATATTTTCTTATATAATTAGTTCTGCATGATGCAATGCTGGTAACTTGGTCCAGAAATTTAAGGTTCTGTGTAAGTCTTCTAGCCTTATTTTGCTCAAAATCAGTGACACACAGTTAATTTACAAGGATTTTTAAAGGGCAGAAAGCTGCAAAGCTATTACAAAATAATACAATTAGACACACATTGAAATGAACTGGAGATTGAAAACTCTGTTTTTCACCATCAAGGGCCTTTTTTGCTTTCCATCAGTGTCTAATTTTGGTCAGATGTAAACCGAGTTATTAATTTAATGTTTACTATCAAAGGCAATTTAAGAAATGGAACAAAAATTGTGTCAAGGCAATTAATTCATGTAATGCTTTATTTTCATAATGCAGGATAAAGCAAATTTTTCCCTCAGAAACATTTTTCTACTTCTTCCGCTATGTGTTCAATGTGTTCGGTATATAGTAAAACAAACTATAAACAAAGTGCAATTATTTTTCATGTAAACTTTATCCAGAGTTTTAGAAATCATAAGTAACACCCATGGATGTCAATAAGGCTCATCATCCTAGTAAAGTAGTTGTTTTAGATCACTGAGTAATATTTAACATATTGTTGGTTTGTAAATACACAGACCTAGTGCACCACAAAATACAGTTTCTTCTGAGGAGCAAAATGAGTTACTCCATTAGGCTATGGGGATTTTTTTCTAACTCAAGGAAGAAGATTTCTGCAAGAAGCTTACATAAGTTACAATATGGAAGTTTCACAGGAAATTCAAAAAGAGGGAGAAACAGTGGAGATAATACAAATTTCAAAAGATAAACCTAGTCAGATTTTTAATTGATATGAAACATGACGATTTGCCCATTTTATTAAATATTCAGTTAAAATATGGAGTCCCTCTAAAAACTGCACATAAATATGTGACAGTTATATAAAAGTAGCAGCTTGTTTCTAGATGATAGCTAAATATTTCTATATTGTACATGCAAATGTTCTGGGTGTAATTTTGTAGTTTGAAATTAAAAAGTGGTACGCCCATCTTAAAACAAATTTGAATAAAACTGAAGGAAGACACAGTACCTTCACTACAACAGATGAATTCTCACATAAATAAACTTACAATACACCAGATTCACCACCTGATGCCTTCCCAATTTTTGATGCTAAATACCTAGGGTTTCCAGTTAGCATCACAAGCAGTCATTCAGGCTGAGATTTGTATTTCAAACAAATGAGAATGGCTATAGGTTTGGGAAGATTCAACCGCAAATAACTTCCGTTGAACTCAGTGGGGCAGTAGATAGAGGATTATGCACTAAATAATTTGAATCCCTATAAATCTCTGCAAGAGCTATGCGAATTAGAATATAATGAACATGTTGAAATCTGAATTAGAATGCAAGGTACAATAGCAAATATCTACATTAAAAAGGTGAAAGTATTATAATGCATTCCAAAAGCTGTGATCATGTACAAAGTCTTGTAAAAATGACAGATCCATTTCACTACCATCCTTTGTAGTTTCAGTGGTTCACAGTGTACAGTAATTGTGATTGCTTGTCAGGATTGGATTCGATTGCACTCTCTTGCAAGCACACAGCATAAGCATGACACACAGATGTCAATGTGATATCATTCATGAAGGTGGTGATCATATCAGTTCTCATGAATCGGTTCTCAAATACTACTCAATTCATGGAGAGAAACTGTATTTGTCAATAATCCCAAATAATAGTTGTTTTGTGTTGCACTTAAAACAGTCTACAGGTGGCAAATGTTGGGCATACACTTTCTGGGTTAATTGCCTGGCTTCATCAGTATATACTATAAAAGTTGCTTTTAGGATATGAAACAACCTTTTAGAACAATAAAGAAGGCATTACTACAGACTAAATCAGTGTTTCTCAACCTTGGCAACTTGAAGATGTGTGGACTTCAACTCCCAGAATTCCCCAGCCAGCATGGCTGGCT